ACGGAGGTTCGGCTCAGCCGATCCAGATGTTGGATCAGCTGAGTCGAACTCCTTCTGCATTTCGGGTCGGCCGAACATGCTGAGCATGTTTGGCCGACTTGAAGCCAGCCGCAGCAAGTCGATGTTCGCCTGATTTTAGTCGGTGTACGGCTGAAATCAGCCGTACAAGCTTGAAGTGGACAGCAGAACAGCGTTCAGCTCACTTCACTTCGGGTTGGTTATTCACTTGGCTTCCTACAGCAGCTTTGTGAATAGACCCCTATGTTTCCTTATCACCACCGCCACAATGTGTTTTAGAGCTCACTCCCATCGTGTTTCAGATGCATGGGATAAGGCATAACCCAGTTGCTGTCAGAATCTTCAGACTGTTCTCCCTCGGCATTTCCACTTTTGCAATCAAATCTTAGAACCCCCTTTATGTGTTTGTTATGTGCTTCCATTCACACTGCATACCGAAAAATACAGGGCTATTTACTAAGAGGGTGAAGAGTATGGAGAAGTGAACAATCTAGGACAACATTGCTGAGCTGAATTGGAGAATTTGTCCCAATCAGCTCTGTTGTCCTATATTGCTCATTTCTCCTGCCTTCTCCAAACTCTGCACCCTTTTGTGAATAACCCTGATAATGTTTTGGCCGATATTTCTTACCTTTCTAGCTGTTTCTTTGGAGCATGTGCAAGCTGACAGGGTCCCTTTAAGTATTTAACAGGAATGGGAACATGTTTCTTGGACATAAAAGCAGATTTGTGAAATAATAAACCTTCAGTAGTGGCACATAATAATTGTTCTAGAGCTCATTCACACTTGTGCGTGCTTTTCACACTGACATGGGCTAAAGAACTTAGTTGCCTCATTTGCCTCCAATGAACGGCAAGCCAATGTATGTGTTCTTTATTACATGGGTTGCAGTACACTATACCCAATATATGTGTGGTAGAGTGGCAATGCAGTGCACATACAACAGCGTGCTGTAGTACCACTTGGTAACACACATGATAATACATGTTCACAAGCACATTTGTACAACAATGTGAATGTTGTCTAGACCCGTATTCGTAAACCCTCCTTCCCCCCCATTAAACCTCTTCCTGTGTTTCATGCTTTGCATCATAAAAGTATAACAGTGCAATTTTTAGTGGCCGTTCACTGGCCGTAGTGGTCTGCTTTCCTGCAATAAAATACATGTGCTGTACAGAGAAATCCCATTTGTTGCTGTGTGGCTGCACTGCAGCTTAGAAAGGGTAGACTAAAAACAATTGAGCAAGAAGCATTTTAGAGCATTAATAAATATAACGCTATTACCATAGACTGAATAATAGCATGCAATGTCAGGCCGCAGTTAATAAAGCAAGCAAGATACTTTCTTGTATTAAAAGGGGTATAGACCCCAGAGATAGAGACATCATCCTGCCCCTGTACAAAGCATTAGTAAAACCTCATCTGGAATATACAGTTCAGTTTTGGTTCACAAAAAGGATGTTGTAGAACTGGAGAAAGTGCAGAGAAGGCAACTAAACTCATAAGAGACAGCTATGAGGAACGATTAACTGACCTGATTGAACTGATTTGTTCTCTCTGGAGAAGAGGCGATAAAGGGGGGACATGATCACCATGCATAAATACATAGCTGGTCCATGTAGTGAACTTGGTGCCAAATTATTCACGTTTAGGTCACTGCAAAGGACAAGGGGGCACTCTTTGCGACTGGAGGAAAAAGAGGTTTAAACTATGCATATGGAAAGGATTCTTCACATTCAGAGCTGTGAAAATGTGGTATAGGCTCCCCCAGGAGCTAGAGATCTCAGTTAACTGTTTAAAAAAACATCTGGATGTATTCTTAAATGCACAGAATATTACTGGATATTGAGTTCTTATAGGCTGTGGTGTCACAAGGGGGGTGCGGCCCCTGCCCGTACAGCACCCCCTCGGTTCTCCTGAACCGAAGGGGTCCTGGGGCCGAAGCTAGCCGAAGGATCGGCCGAAGCTACAGCCAGATCCTTCGGCAGCTTTGTGAATAGACCCCTAAAAGTCAGATGCCGGCTTTTAGTTTCATTTTCGGGCCGCGTACAGCACAGGACGCCGCGGGATCGCAGGGACAAGGTGAGTGTCACTTTTCTGTGCAGCGCCGAGTCTGGCTCGTGGTTACCACTCCTAGCATTGAAAATTCACCCCGAGCCAGACTCAGGATTACTGCCAGGGAGGTTAATAGGGTTTTTTTTTTGCCTTCCTCTAGATCAGCGGTTCTCAACCTGTGGGTCGGGACCCCTTCAGGGGTCGAATGACAGTTTGCCAGGGGTCGCCGGGAGACTCCCGCTATTAGATAGAGGCTCCCGGCCACCCGGGAGAGAAACACTTTCTCCTGGAAAGGTTGACTCTGCTTGATTGAGCAGAGTAAACCTTTCGCTGCGATCGTTTTTTTATTTCTGACATCGGAGCCCAGGCCGCCGTAAGTCAGAAAAAAATAAATAAATCATTATTGGAATGCATAGCTAGATTCCTATTGGCTATTTCACTTTGCAATAGCAAACTAGCACCCGCCCACTGCTGCTGTCAATCAGCAGAGGGGGACCTGCAGTTCTCCATCAGGTCCCCATCTAGTGATTATCATCATTATTATTATTAATAATAAAAGCTGACACCCTTGGCTTGTGTTACATGGTTTGCCATTTTACAACAGTGGTTCTCAACCTGTGGGGTCGCTGTGTGATTTCTGCTGTGCACGGTGAGAGTCCTCCTCAGCCCTCTCCTAGCGCAGCAGTGTCAGTTCTCCTGCCATGCCACCAGATGTCGCTGCAGCAGCTGCGTCATCCCTAAATTTTACAGTTGGGGGTCACCACAACTTGGCAAATGTTACCAAGGGGTCCCGGCCCTAGAGAGGTTGAGAACCACTGCTCTAGATCAACAGTGGGTAATTGGGGGCATAGCATTCTGTTTTACATTTTACTTCTTTTTCTTTATATCTCTATAGGTTGAACTCGATGGACCTGAGTCTTTTTTCAACCTAACTATGTAACTATGTAACTGTGTATTTAAGTGAATAGTAAATGCACACATCCTCAAAAATAAATGTGTTTTTTCAAGCAACTTTTACCTAAACAGCTCAGTGAGTAAAATTAAGATTGTCCCCTCAACCCTTGTGTTAATGGGCCCCTAATCTTATGAGGGTATTCTGTCTTAATGAGCTCATTGACATTGTACTGAGAAAAATGGCCGGATCTCTACACCTGGGAGCCACGGGTGTTGCGTGCAGCCCACATGTACAAGTCAATGACAGGCTGCTACGCTGGTTTTCCTTGCACCGAGTGTAGTCAGGGTACCGGTTTGGACATACGCTCCTAGACGCAGACAGTCTGCAATGTTTATAGTGTTGCTCTTTGAACATATGGCTAAAGATTTGATTTGTGGATGACAGATTTTTATTCAAAGTCTGTGGGGTTGATTTACTAATAAAAAAAAGAGAGACTGTTCACTCAGAAAAGTAAATAAGGTGAAACTGTGTGCACTGTGAATACCCAATCACATGCCAGAGAAATATAAAAAATAGGATTTTTGGTAGCACATGATTGGATGACTAAACACCGAATTCACTAAGTTCAGTGAGCATTTGCTGTTCCAGGGAAAGGTCTGGACCCCTTTAGTGCCTACCCACATTGCTCCTCTTCACTACTTCCGTTTGTGCATGTCATACGCACGTAAGCATGTCTCTCTCTCTCATGACATGTATATTTCATGATTCCTTGTGACTCCAAACTGTACATACTGGTGCACTCTATGTCAGCAGAACAGCTTGTACTCTATAGAGTGCACATATCCTAGGGTGACAGCGGAGCGCATGTCTTGGGAGTCCTTCTAGGACTAGAAGTGTAGAAACTGACAGGTCACCAAGCTTTGGAGTTCCACGTGGAGTGCACGCTAGGGTGACAATGGGGCCCCGGCCTAGAGAGTCCCTCATAGAGTGTGGACACCCTAGGACCAGAGCCGTGTTCAGTTGCTCAGCCGCTGAGAGTGCTGCATTAGCAAACCGCTGCTGAACACTGTGCTGCAAGTCAGCGCTCAGCACTGCTAACTTAGCACTCGCAGCGGAAGTGAATGTGGATGCAGAGCGCTGAGTGTGATAAAGAAAGTGGGGACAGAGCCCCAGCGGCCATTTTAACTGTGGGCAAACCTGGCAGCACTGGAGAAAGGTGCCTGAGCCCCGATGGAGGAAATCAATTCAGTGTGGCAACCTATTAATTCAGTGTGGGAACCTATAATTTAATGTTTTCGTGAACGAGCACACCAAATATTAATTGGGAAATGGTATTTCGTTAGTCAAAAATATTATCCTTCGCACTGTGCAGCCAAAGCGATCAGTGAAGCTCCTGCAGCGATCTGAAGTGCTGCAGAACAGCTACTCAGCGCTTGGCTAAGGAACTGAACATGCCACTGATGTGAATAAACTGCCAGGATCACCATGCTTGGAGCATGCAACCTAGGGTGACAACAGTGCGTCTGCCTAGGGATCCCCTCAGGGAGTGTAGTCGCCTTAGGACCAAATGTGAAAAACTGACATGTCATGGATCTTGGGGTCCTAGGAAGTCCCTTCAGGGAGTGTAGTCACCCAAAGGCCAGATGTGAAGAAATGGTGGTTGAGTTATTGTTTTACAAGTCTATAGGTTTACAGTGAACAGTAAATGACCCGAGCTATATATACAGCGGATGTGCTGTGTTATTATGGTAATGCTCAGCTTACTACAGAGGGCACAGAACAATACAAGGCACAGAGGACATTCAGAAGAACTCTTTATAAGCGACACTAAAAATACATTAAAAAGGAGCAGGAGGGTTGTATACATGTTGCTCCAAAAACTGAATCAAACCAAGAGCGGGCGGCGACGGCAAGCAAACTATTTCCGTCCCGTCTCCGCCACCTTCCCCTGCCCTACACAGCAGCTGCCGTCCGGCACAATAGAGAGCGCTGCCATTGGGCCGCATGTCACGTGACGTCAGCCGCGGCCTCTCATTCACATGCAAATGTTAAAAAAAAGGGCCGAGTGGATGGAAAAGCATCGAGCAGCCGCATTGTGACGTCACAAAGGGACCCGGGGAACGTTTTCTGGTCACATGGACCGGGGGGAGAGGCAGGTGTGAACGATCGCCCTATAAACACACACTGGAGAGCCGCATTCTGTCCATAGACACACGATGGATCGGGGGGACAGGCAGGTGAGAGCGAGCTGTGTTCTGTATGCACGATGCACACATGTCATGCAGGCCTGGACCGGGCGCAGCATTCGGACCAATGGACGGCCCTGGGCAGAGGATCAAGCACATACATGGTGGATACATTGTTGCTGTAGCTCTATGCAGATGTAGATGTACAGCTATGGGGGTGCACTGTGTACGTGACATCGGCTCGGCCCCATGTGCTCATTGGGGGCAGCAGTACAGGTGACCTCCGATCACAGAACTGGATATTCCTGTAATGTGTGCACACATCTGGAGGAATGGTGCTGTTTATGATACCAGCAGAGACGGTGACTAGAATAACACACACACATCAGGGAGCTATTTCACAATGTACAGTTTGCTACGCTACTGTATATGTGCGCGCTATACAGGACAAACCGCATTGTTTCTAACATTTGTGGCTCATTGTATTCATCTGTACTACAAGCTGCTTTGGCTCAGACCTATCCTTTTCAATGGAAGGGCTGATGAGGGATTGGTATGTGTGTGTACATACACACACACATATATATATATATATATACACACACACTTTTTTTTAATAGGGTTTTATCTTCCAGTGTTAAAATCACCTTGCAGGAGAAAGGCACATGGTTATTAATAACAAAGTTAATATTAGGCCGCTTTTGTGTTTAAGGCAAAAAAAAACTAAACAAACAGCTGTTAGGGATGCAAAACAAAAGCTTCATGGAGAATAATATAAATACAGTAAACTTCCAATTATCTGGCATCCACAGGGATTGGTAGATTCCAGATAACTGTAGTTTCTGGTTGCTTGAGAGTTACTAATAAAAATAGGTCTAACTAATGCCATACCCCATACTATACCATATCATAACATAAACTCTGTATTGACTTCATATTAATAATGAAATGCAGTAATCAAAAGCAAATTAAGACAAATAGTCTCAGTATCATTTAATACATGCTGCAGAACAGTGTCTGGTTAGTTGAATAACGTATAACTGAGAGTTTACTGTACAGAGGTTGCATCGTTCAGGGGTGGACATATTCATATGGAATTCAGGAGCCAGTCTGTCCAATCCAGGGGCCAGCAGGATTTATTTTTAGGAGCCAGCTCCAGGGACAACCACTAGAGAAAACCTCAACAAGTTAGGTGCCAGATGTAATTTTTAAGGAGCATTGGCGACCTGGCTCCTGGGATTAGTCCAGCCCTGGCATTGTTTATATTTTCCGTGTTTAAATTCAACTCATTTGTTAGTTTTTTATTTTCCTTTTAAATTGTGAAAATATTCATCTAATCTATGAACTAAAAACACAACTTTGACTTGTGTTAGTTTATTTTTTAATAATATTATATTTATTATTATATTTGCATATTAAATACTATATTCTAATATTTTTGCATATTATACATACATCATACATACAATATACAGGATTTAAATAGAGCCAACAGTTTGCACAGCGCTGTACGATATGAAGGGAGAAAGTACAGTTGCAATACAATTCAAGACAAGATAGTTAGGAGGGCCCTGCTCTTAAGAGTTTACAATCTAAAACTATAGACTTGGAAGATTACTATTTTAGTCTTATAGAAGATCTTTACAATGTAAATGAAATCATTTCCATTCAACTTTTATTTTAGGCACAATAATAATAAATGTTAATAAATAAAATAGGACTGTTTGCTGCAAATCTTTACAGCTCTGAACAGAGTCTGTACCATGTTAGCCATTGATTGGCGCACAGAGTGGAGTTTGAAGTGATACTCTTTAATTGTCTAAAGTCATTAAAGATGCAAGACTTTGGGATTATTTAGATCCCTTTTCAAGCTTTATACAATTGTATTAAAGTGACACTAAACTCAGGGCTTAAATCTTAAAATGCATTCAAGCACCTTAATGGGCTATAGTTACAATACAAATCTGCAGACGAGTGATCCACAAATAAGATACATTTGTATTAATAGTTGAGGTACTTGAATGCATTTTTAAGATTTAATTCCTGAGTTTAGTGTCACTTGAATCATAAAGAAGCAATCTAAGAAATCCCAAAAGCTTGCATCTCTAATAACTTGAATCTTTATTAGTCAATGAAGGGTATCACCTAAACTCCAAACTTCATGCGGCATATGATCAAGAGACAGTAAGGGACAGTAAACCAATGACTTAGGTGTCAGGCTGGCTGGGAGTTTCCTTTGGTAAATGATGATAACTTGTATTCAGGAAGAAATTCATTTTTTTCCCCAGATCTTATTTATACTTGGCGTGGGAATGTGAGTTATTAAGTACAGAAATCTGCCAGGTCGCCAATGTTAAAAAATTACATTTGGTGCCAAACATTTGAGGTTTTCTCTAGTTGTTATCAATGGAGCTGGCTCCTGAATTGGACACAATGGCTCCTGAATCCCGTATTGATTTTTCCACCCCTGAACGATGCAACCTGTGTATTTACATTATTGTCCATGAAGCTTTTGTTTTGCATTCTTTAACAGTTGCTTGTTTAGTTTCACACATGTGTCCACCCCTGATCTAATTGCACTGTAATTGATGTTTGTGAACAAAACTGCTCATACTTCTCTTTAAAAGATTAAAAATGGATCTCTTTAAGAATATCTTAAATTATCCTAAAGATAGTTATTAAACACCTTTTTTTGTCTTGAAATTAAGTGCTGCTTTCAAAGTAGAACTCCATGTCCTGCAGTCTTTGGTATTTGTACTTGTAACATATTGTGTCTGCGTACATATTGCTTCTGTCATATAAAGTAATAGAGAATTAAATGTCATGTTGGTTGGTACTGTACCTGTGTTTTTTGAGATTTCAGAGTGTTCTTTAAATGTGGTGACAGATGAAGGTTTATTTTTTATATTACAATGTTAAAAATGACTTTTTTTGGGTGGGATTTGTACAGAGAAATGTTTGGATATAATATTGTCAACCTTCCTGTCCACAATTAAGAATCAGACCAGGAATATGGCCACTTTGGGGAACAATTATGTTCTTCATTTTTGTCCACAATTTCTTCCCCATTTTTTTAATTAATTAATACCACTTGACAGACACAAAAGTCCTGACTTTCAGCCTTGTCACAGGTTTTGCACCACTCCTTCAGTTTGGGGGTGAGGTTTATTACTTTTAGCTAATTTTGCATTCTTTTTGCAGACAAGGAAACCACTGGTTGAGAAGAGGAGAAGGGCAAGGATTAATGAGAGCCTTCTGGAGCTAAGGGGGATCCTAGCCGACAATGAGGTGAGTGTCAGTTAAACCTTGCGACACTAAACTCAGCAGTGAAATCTTAAAAATGCATTCAAGTACCTTACCTATTAACAAAAATGTATCTTATTTGTGTATCACTCAGCTGTAGATCCTCAGATCATCTCTGAATTGGTGCTGACACTGTCCTTCCTTCTGGAGGTTGGCTACTTTTGTCCCCCATGGTCCCTGTGTGTGTTGCAAAGTAGTCACCGCTCCAAGCTTGCTTCTGTGATGGACTACAATCTCACATTTAGTTAACCAATTTGTATTAAAGTTATAGACTATCACAGGAGCGAGCTTGGAGCGGTGACTACTTTACAACACACACAGGGACCATGGAGAACAAAAGTAGCCCCCCTCCGGAAGGAAGGACAGTGTCGGCACCAATTCAGAGATGATTTGAGGATCTACAGCCGGGTGATACACAAATAAGATACATTTTTGTTAATAGTTAAGGTACTTGAATGTATTTTTAAGATTTCACTCCTGAGTTTAGTGTCACTTTAAGTTAATGTAATAACTTTATTAATCAATTTAAAGATATGTCTGCTCAATATAAAACAAGTGCATAAATGACTAATAAATAGTAAACATAACATCTGCTTAGTAAATCATAAGCCATATCAATCCTGTACTTTGGAAATGTACAGTAGCAAATGATAAAAGGGTTTGTAATGATGATATTAATGTGCAATATTTTTCTATTACTAGTTCCAATCAAAAATGGAGAATGCAGAGGTTTTAGAGCTCACCGTGAAGCGGGTACAAAGGATTTTACAGAGCAGATCAGCTGGTGTGTATTTGAATTATAAAGCTACTTGCCGTATATAATCTAGTTGCAGTTGAATAACTGGATATTTGGTGTCATTTATGAAAACACTGACCAACTGAATTTCTACTGCTATCCTACAAAATTAAGATGAGATATGGGCTGCAATTTTTTTTCATGCTCATTCACTTTTAGTGGCAAAAGGGGGAAAAAATAAATAAAATAATATAAATATATATGTATGTATATATATATGTGTGTGTGTGTATTGGGCAGTCATGCCTGCGACTGTCAAGAGTCTTGCAATGCCTTGTGATCTGTAAATCAGGCTCATTCTGAGTCTGATGAAGGGGACCCCCTGCGGCCCCGAAAGCGCTTGTGTATTGGATGGCAATGTGCCATTAAAATGGATCATTGACTAACAAAAACTGGTGTGCTGGTGACATTATTCCTTTATTCTGTAAATGCACCACACCTTGAGTGTCTGAGTTTGCCTACCCCTGGAATAAATGATTATAAAATATTCCCACTCAGTTTTTTTGTGGTTTCTTTTTTATTGGATAACTAAAGATGGTAAGACCCTTTAATATGTGATAGGATGGTGCTGACAACTGTATATATCGTGGCATGTACATCTGTGTGATATGATGGTACTGATATTTGTTTGCCTTGTTTAACTTGCAGAGTCTGAGCGGTTGCAGAGAGAGGCCAGTGAGCGTTTTGCTGCAGGCTACATCCAGTGCATGCATGAGGTGCACACCTTTGTGTCTAGCTGTCCTGGCATTGATTCTAGCCTGGCTGCAGAGCTGCTCAACCACCTTTTGGAGTCTATGCCTTTAAGCGAGGGGAACATACAGGATCTTGTCCTCGACGTGCTTCTGGATTCTCCTGTCTCGGATGCTTCCTGCGGCCTGGGATTGTTGGGATCCTCCTCGGATGACAGCTGTTCTGATGCAGAGGAATCCGATATTGTCAAGGGAGGGACAGAGTCTGTGCAGGACAGTGACAGGACCCCCGAGATTCAGCCGCCTCCTGCCCCTTCCATGTGGAGACCATGGTGATCTAGACAACGATATGTGTACATTTGGGGACCTGTGCTGACCTGTACACCTGGGTCATGTACCTTAGTCCCAGGACAGCGAGTGCATGTCATGTCTACATGTTTGGATTTTCCACGCTGTAACATGTTGCAGTACAAAGAATCACACCACATAACTGGGTTGTGTCCATCCGTCTCAATGTCTTTGATGTAAAAGTCACTACATCCCGGATAAATCCTCTCTTCAGCTGAGGTGGCAGGATCACAGTATGGATTATACTGCAGGATATATTTATACTGCAAGGAAACTTACTGTATACTCAACATTTGTTATACTGTGCAACATGTTTATAGTCATTGTATAGATACTATTCATTATACTGCGCAGCGGATTCTTTATATCGGCACTATCCCTTAATCTGAGGGTCATGAGAAGCTCTAAAGGGTTTTATGCGTTCAATGGAAAAATAAGAACTACCTTTTGCTCCGTACTGGGGTCCAGAGTAGGAACAAATTGACATTTTGCATCAGAAAGCAAATTGGAGAATTGTAGGTGCCGTGTTGGTTTCCTTATACAAGACCTGATAAGTTCCAAGCGTTCAGATGCTGAAGTATTGCCATGTTATCAGAATGGTAAGAGCTTGATCTAAGAAGTTGGGCCCCTTTAGTGTATTTTATAGCAGGTGTGGACAAATTAATATGGAATTCAGAAGCCAGTCTATCCAATTCAGGAGCCAGCAGGATTTGTTTTTAGTAGCCAGCTTCATTGACAGCAACTAGGAAAAAACCTCAGACGTTCGGCGTCAGTTGTAACTTCTAAGGAGCATTGGCTACCTGGCTCCTGGGATTTGTCCAGTCTTGATTTAAATATAGGGTAGAAGGGCTTTCACACATATCCCTGAATGTGAAAATCTTTCAAATAGAATGAATGGAACACACTATTAGTGTAAGTCTGAATTACTGGGCTTTGGATTTGTGCTGAACCTTGGTGAGGATGCAAGACAGGCGCCCTCTAACAATTACACACACCCACCCATTATAACAGTATACAGGAGCCTATCATTAAACTTACTGGGAACAGTTTCTTATTTTAGGAAAAGGTGCCCATTGCACTATGTATAAAGCAGAGTTGTCTGCTGTAATGTTTTTGGCTTAGGAAACCGTTTCTTACCCTGCTTTGTGTTTGGTTTGCTCTAAACTGGTTTGGCTTTGCGATATAGCCATGTGTATAGGACACACCTGGGTACAAGCATACACAATGTCACGGCTGGCCCACCCATGCCCAGATCTCTATATTTATATGTATATGATCATCTCTTGAATTTTATTCCTCTATTGTTTCACAAGACCTTATGCAAAATGCAATCGTTATAAACACAGATCAGCCATAGTAGAGGGAAAAAAAGCTGTTATGTGAGCAAAAGGGACAGAGCAACATAGGTTTTATTTGCCAAATACATAGTGCACATGGCAATATTACAGCCTTATATAGTATTACAGCATAAAATAAAGTTGTGAATCTGATGAAGGAGTCCGTTAAAATCTGCATGATCATGAGAAGGGAAGTAGTTAAAACATCTGGTTTAGTAAAAGCTATATATAGGGGGAATGTAGGTAGTTTTTCCTCTGGCTGCGCATGCATAGTGGTAGTGCATTGAATTTTCATCCCTAGGAGGGATGTCTAGAGTTAGGTAAATTGAGGTTCTACCTTCAGTGAAGGAGACTATAGAAGATTGTTTGGATACCGATTTGAAGGGTGCTATAGGAAACAAACTTTCAGGAATATGTGTATATTAGAGAGATAATGTGTTGTGTTTGTGTGGTTTTTGTTTTTTTCTTGTGTACATAGATTACTTTTTTTTTTTAACGCTGTTGGGAGCAGGTGCCTGAATCTGTGTGATGCACTTCAAGCATATCTTGAGAATTGAAACTTGGTCTCCATTATGTGCATCCATCTGGCGAGCACTTATTCTTCTTTTTAAACTTTTTATCATGGATCTTACTGCCTCTTTTTATACTAAAATGTACTAGTGTGGTTAAGTAGTGCTAATGTGCATTAATTTCCTATAAATAAATTAATGATCTTTGATGAAAAAGCATGGATTTCTTTTCTTTTCTGCACTATGTTAGATTTTATTTCCTTGAAGTGAGACTAAACTCAGGAGTTAATGCAAAATGCATTTAAGAATCCTACTTATTAACAAAAATGTATCTTATTTGTGCATCACTCAGCTATAGATCACCAAATCATCTCTGAATTGGTGCTGATACTGTCCTTCCTTCTGGAGGGTGGCTACTTTTCTTCCCCATGGTCACTGTGTGTTGATAAGTAGTCACCGCTCCAAGCTCACGCCCGTGATGGACTCTAAGTCCTGGTTCACACCTAGACGTATTGCATATGCGTGTCTGTCGCGCGTCTTTTTTACCGCAATTCGCGGTAAAAAAAATCGCGCGCCAAACACGCGTTTCCGAGGGCTACTTGGCTGTATCCCAATGGAAACGCGCAACAAAAACGGCCCAAAGTAGTACCTGTACCTTTTCAGGCGTGGGCCGTTTTGTAGCGCGTTAGGGACGGGCTGAAATACGCCAAGGTGTGAACCAGACCCATTGAAAACAATGGGATTTTCATGTTTGAGCGTTTTGTAGAGCGTTCGTCGAGCGTAGAACGCGCTACAAAACGTTCAGGTGTGAACGAGGGCTAACTTAAATTCAAATTAGTTTACTAATTGTAGTCCATTAGGAACTTTTTGTTATTAGTTAAGGTACTTAAAAACATTTTTATGCTTTAACTCCTAAGATCAGTGTCACTTTAATTCTTGTTTTTAGTTTGCACACTAAATTGCACATTGACCATCCAGTCTGAGAAAACTGAAGGATCTGGCACCTGCATGCAAAAGCCAAACACAGTATTGCACCGGTCTCAATAAATATTGCCAGTGGTAGGGTCACTACAGAGGCTGCCTGTCACTTTGTTGCTGTTGAATCTCAATCACTAGCAGGGGGAGGTGGGGAGGGGTCCGGGTTAGTTTAATAAGGGCAAACAAGCACACTCTTGGTGATCCTGATGCTTTCAACAAATCACCAGTGGTAGGATCACTAGTAACAGATTTGCCCATCTGACATCATCTTCCGTTACCAGCTATTACAAACATGCTTGTACTAGGAGTCAACAATTCGGGTGGTCCAAAGCAGGGCGAACAATTTAATATGGAATCTAGGAGCCAGTTCCAGTGACGACAACAACTAGAGAAAATGTGAAAAGTTAGGTGCTACCTACCTGGCTTCTGGGATTTGTCCAGCCCTGATCTAAAAAATGCGCTTTTTTTCTAAACAAAAAACAAGTGTGCCTGCCCTTTACAAATAAAATCTATATGATGGTGTCTAAGTGACAGCCAGGCAACTAGCATTTCAGAAACGTTTAAGTGTGACCACTCAAAATTGGGCATATTTCTAAAACAGTGAATGTGACATTCACAAGACATTTCTTGATTGTAATCATTTCTTGATAGATATTTATATCTATCTATGATTCTGGTGGTGAATCATAGATAGATATAAAAAGACATTTACCAAGATTTACATGCAGTAAATGTTTGATGAATGCACATTCACTGCTCTATAAATTTGCCCCTTTTTTAAATAAGGCTATTTTTTTTTTTTTTTTTACAAATATTATACTGAATTTTAAGATGGAATTGGGTTGGCCCCCTAAAAAGTCAATTCACTGATTATCACATGAGCTATAAGTCCCCGTTCACACCTTGGCGTATCGTAAACACGCACAAAAGTGCGTGTTTTGTCAAGCAAATGCTGAAAACACTTGCGTTACCATTACTAGTTAATGGCACCCCAAATGTGGCTGAGTGGGATGTATATCACTCAATTTGCAACATGTACTACTTTCCTGCGTTTGGCGTGCCTCCAGGAAACCACTGGAATCAATGGAGATGCACGTCAAACGCTGGAAACAAACGTCAGTGAGCATGCATTCCCTCTGCGCTCAGGTGTTAATGGGGGCTAACTCCTTCAAATATCACTAGCCTCTGCCTGGTGATAATTTCAAGGTCATATTTAATGTCTTTGGAGAAGGGAAGGGAAAGGAGCCAAGTGGCATACAGGTAAAAGAACCATTTATGATATGAAATACCAATGAATGATAAATAGGGGTTTTCAGTAGTTAAATATCCATTTCATGTTTAAAAATAACTATTCCACATCTAGGTGATGTTTATGTTTGTGAACCTTTTCAATAGAAAATTATGCTGTAAAATAAGGAATATAGGTCCAATGACTCATACATCATAGTAAAAATATTCTAAAGCAGTCTATAGATTGAACTCACAGAAGCATTAAGCAGCTGGTATTTTTAGTACCATGCATTACTTTTGTTTACAATGGAAAATTGATCTATTCGCTAGAGGCATGAGCTCCATTCACAAAATCATAACTCAATAAGCAAACTGCTACTGCATGGGGGAACCCTACCCACCTCCTTTTAGCACCAGCTGCAGATCTCAGCCTTACCTGGCTGAACTACAACACCAATAAGTAGAAGACAATCCGTTATGCCCCAGTGCAGATACCAGCAGGTTTTTTTGGGCACACAATTGGCAGACAAACGGCAAAGGGCTAAAGAGAGCCTACACACTCTGTAGTGATCATAGACTCTAGTTCAGGGGTAGCGGCCCTCCAGCTGTGGAGTCGCTCTTCGGGAGTCATGTCTGTGGCTGTGAGGATCTTGCAATGCCTCATGGGATTTGTAGTTCCACCACAGCTGGAGGGACGGAGGTTTGCTACCCCTGCGAGTCTAGTTTTTGCTGTTTGTCTTCCAATGGTTGAAATAAAAGGTTTCCTAGTGTCCGCACTGGGCCGTAAACAAATCGTTTTCTACCTATCACAAAGGAACAGCATATGTAATATTTTTATAATCATGCATTCTTTTTTTTTGTTACATTTAAACAAATTTGTCAGTTAAATAAATGCATTGCTGCACGGATCTAATAAATTTACTACATACATGTTATTTTATCAGTTTTTGAAAAGTACACAAACCTAATACACAGGTTATGATCCCCTGTAAAATACCACTACAACTAGCTGTTGATAACTGAGTTTCAATGAGCTGTCTACAGAGCGCAGCAAGAAAAAGGAGACATTTAAAGTGATAAAATAGCATTTAATGAATATAGGGCTTTCATGCCCATTTCATATTGAAAAAATTATTCCACGCACAACAGATATGTATGTTTGTGAATGATATACTATAGCAGAAAATTGCCATAATGTGCAAACTCGCACCTGTAGCATGTCTGCAGAACCTTCAGATTCACGAAACACAATGAAAAATCCCAACATTAGAGGCACAAGGAGAGTAGGCATGTTCTCTCCCCCATCTTACAAATTGTTACCAGGTGTAAGCATAGTCATCAGAAGGGAGCATGCCTAGCACAGAAAATCAGCATTTGTATAGGATCTCCTAGAGTTCAGTTGGAGACCTTATCTTAGATCTTAGAAGAGGTTTGTAGAAGTGCCACCATTCTGCACTGCTTCGTCCTACACTATGAGTCAAGCCACAGCTATTAGCCTTTGAAGTCTCGGTGGGAAAATTCTAAGAAGCACTGCACTAGGTTGTAAATGTATATGGACAGGGCTTTCACCCCTATCCTGATTTGTTATATCTATGCAAAATACTATCTGTATATTGTAGGTATATTATGACAAGAAGGAAAAAAGATCAGTTTCAAAGTGAAATCATATACCCAGCATACTGTAAAATACAAGAATTATCTGTGGCTTTAGGTTTTCATGTGTACTATGTACTATTCCTTGACCTCTATTATGCTTTATGTGCTGAAATCATTGCACCATTTATATTTCACACAACATATTTAAAATTGGAATAAGACAATTTTATTCTCTTCATTTCCAAGGTAGAATATAGAATGTTAGATCACTGATCCACGTGGCTGTATGCAGCCAAGTGTGAATGAGCCCTGAATCTGAAAAGGTAGTGGAGAAATATGTAGTTATTCATTTTAGAGGCATTCTGTTAGATGATATTAATATATTTGTGAACGAGAACCCTAGAATACAAATATCCCTTTTCAAAACTAAACTAACCAAGAAATACTAAATGATCATTAATGGGGCATGATCTACCAACATTTTATCATTACGTGTACGAGTGTACACGTTGGCAATATACTGACGCTTCGAAGGGTGCCATTAGCATTACACTTCAGGTCTTAAAATTAGAGCTATCACTTTATATGAGTAACAGGTACACTTTAAAGCTATAAAGTATAGATACATGCACAATTCTTGTCGATGATATCACACGCTGGATCATAATGAACCAGGCTTTCTCCACTAATATTTATGAGTTTGACATTGGAAGTCTATTAACTGTCCTTACAGCTCTGAGACATTGTGCTTTGCTGATTAACAGCTAGTTTAAAGTGTAAGTAAACCATAAAAGAGAAAGTTGTCCCAGCTATCCGCATAGCATTGAATTGCTTACAGATGGACAAACAATACAAAAATGCTACTTCATATGACATATAGATATTTCATGTTGTGAGGCGGTTTCCCTCAGACTGCAGCATTTCCTGTAATTACATTCAATGTTAGTGTTAATTTCAAGTGCAGCTTCTTAGAGCAGTGAATCATGTAGGAGACCTACAGGAAAGGTGACTCCTGTTCTTTTAGTGTATCCTTTGATGTGTAAATGAAGACCTGTTCTGTGGTAATTGTCAACTTTACATCAAAAGCTGAGTCTAGAATGAGTGTCCATTCTGGAAGCAGTAAAAGTGCCTTTTTGGCAGGAAGCATCTTGTTCCCATAGGAAACAGCTGGACTGGGCTGTACTGGGAACATGCTACAACTCAAGCGTCCAAACTAAAGCTAACTTATAGATGGCCACAGATTTTAGAGAATGGCCAGAATTCCATACATGAGCATCTCACAATGTCTGCATCCAATGTATGTGCAAAACACAAATACTCAGATGACATGAACATTCTTCTTAAGGCAATAGAAGGCAGTAGGGAGGCACAATTTTACTGCTTCTAGATAGTCCTGGTGCCAGTTTATCTCAAGGGAAATAACAGTGATCACACAAGGTTTTCTTACTCCGTGCATGGCATCACTGGAGGGCTGGGAGTCACGTTGATAATTATCCAATATAACAGTTGGAAGGTTGTTCCCCTAAACTCCCTTCCCTCTGCCTCCATGTTCTTCTACATCTACTTACTTTTTCTTTGAATACTTTCTATATGCATGTTCTATCTCTTCTAAAAGATTCACACAGACACAAATGACCTTGTCTTCATTAACTAATACTAGTCTAACACTTGTAGGTTGACTATCCTAAGTAAAGAGGATCCTTTAATGCCTATCTATGTAATAAGTGCTTGATTTGGGTGATCCTTTGAATGTATCATCTCTTTGCCAATGTACCCAACTGCAGTCACGTTACAACTCTGACTAAATGGGAACGTAGCCTGTGTCATATTGAGCCTTGTTGTATTTCTCATTAAAAATATCAAACTTGTTTGCAACAGAAGATGGAAGGTCACTCTTTGTGCAATTAGCACTTTCAACTATCTGTTTTAGACTAGGTTCACAGTAGGGCGATCCTTGACTGTGCGGCAATCGTGCACGAAACCACGTGAATGGCCGCATGGTCACGGAATCGCCCACCACCGACGATTGCTCTAGCGGTGCCATTATTTTCTCATGGCACCCCAGTCGCCCCAGGCTGATTGTGAGGTTTCGCGCCGCAATACTGCCCATGCAATTGTGCACGATCACGGTTCAAACAACCGCACAGTGCGTGTCGCAAAAGGAGTTACATGTACCTTTTTTGATATAATATAACCCAATTGAAGTCAATGGGGCCACGTGGCAATCACTTTGTGCAATTGTGCATGATCGCGCGGTCCCGGGACACTAGTTCCGGGATCGCAGCTATCTGATCCTAGCCAAAGACAACCATGTCGCCACTGAAAAAAATTAAACTGAAAGCAACTTGTATAAGATTAGGTCTCATATTTAATCTTTTGGTGGATGGCAAGTAAAATCATCTTCAAGATGTCCATGGAGCCGCTGCTATGGAGCATATCCAGGGGTGACAGATAGCGTGTCCCACACTAGACGCCGTTGTTCCTTTTTGCTGACCTCAACATCATATGTATACATCTGACCAGCCTCTGACCACCTAAAGTTTCTTCAGGTGATGGAAGTGTTATTTGTACCCTATAAAGTGCTGCAGAAAGTTTTGTTACTGCACAAATTATTAAAATGCATACAAGAGTGCATGCATACACATAGGGCAGCAGGACTCATTTTCACTTATACTTCCTCTGCAGGCTGCATGCTTATCACTTCTTCTCTTGGAGTATTCCCTGTAGGGCAATGCAGTGGCTGTATGTCTGTGTTTATCAGCTTGTCTACTGTAACCAAAAGGCAATGTTTACAGGAACAACAGTTCTTGGCTACCACCCAAATGTTCATTCACTCTGGTTCCATCAAAATGATAGAGAGACCAATGGTGAGTACACAGGGGAACTAAGTGAAAATATTGTTTGGCCTGTAATGTTACATTGCAGTTACTCACAGCTAGCCCTACTGATTTGCATACATCACTCGAGGTGTTAAAATATTGGCACTAGATTCTGAAGGAGTTAACCACCACTCCTGCATACCCTCTGGTAAGCATAATGCAACAGAGCCCTTATGCTTACTGTAAAATGTTTTGTAACTAATCCAATAGTAAAACAAGATGCTGGAAAACGCACAGTGCACTTTAATAAATCCCTTTCGATTGTAAACTCGGAGGAGCAGGGCCCTCCTAACCCTCCTCTATTTAATTGTATTGTGACTGTACTGTCCCCCTTTATAAAGCTCTGTATGAGAATAATATGAATAACAATAATAATAATGATATTAATGCATGACACATTCGAAATAAATTGCTCCAGATTTTCATTCTAAAGGACATGCTGCATGCTGGAAGGTTAATTAGCTCCTGCTTTAATTGGCCCTGTGTGCATGTGCAATAGGGCCCTTAGATTGTAAGCTCCTTGAGGAACTGATGTGAATGTACAGTATGTAAGGAGCTGCATAAATTGTCGGTGCTATATAAATACCTGTTATAAATAAATACATAAAAATAAATATTTTTATACATAAGTAGCTATGTATAAAAATACACATATATGATGTACATTAGTACTTAACAGCGTTGACAGATCTATGCACAAATATAATGGGGTTGATTTGTTTAATCTGCAAAGTGAACTAGACTAAGGGGTCTATCCACTAAGCTGCCAAAGGATCTAGCCGTAGCTTCGACTGATCCTTCGGCTAGCTTCGGCCCCAGGACACTTTCGGTTCAGTGGAACCGAAGGGCTGCTGTACGGACTATTCACTCGACTGAGCCGAGGTCAAAGGCGAAGCTGGCCGAATGGCCGGTCATTGGCCGGCCGACAGCCTGCTACTGACTGCTGGGCGGAGCCAGCCGTCATATCATCGCTGGCTCTGGCCACTTGCAGAGACACATCAGCGTCACCTGGTTACCAGGGACGCTGATCTGTCATTACTCTCTTGGATGCTCCGGGAGTCTCCCGCTATTAGATAGTGGCTCCCGGCCACCCGGGAGAGAAACACTTTCTCCCACAAAGGTTTACTCTGCTCGATCGAGCAGAGTAAACCTTTTCCTGCTCTGTTCTTTTTTTTTCTTCTGACATCGGAGCCGCTGGCCGCCGTCAGTCAGAAAAAAAAAATAGCATAGGAATGCATAGCTACATTCCTATTGGCTATTTGAATTTGCAATAGCCAATAGCAAACTAGCTATTGCACCCGCCCACTGCTGCTGTCAATCAGCAGAGGGGACCTGAAGTTCTCCATCAGGTCCCCTTCTAGTGATTGACAGCAGCAGAGGCCAGGTGCAGTAGCTAGTTTGCTATTGGCTATTGCAAAGTGAAATAGCCAATAGGAATATAGCTATGCATCCCTATGGTGGTTTTTTAATTTTATTTTTATTCTGACGGCAGCAGAACCGCCCGGCCAATAGAAAACAGTTGGGCGGAGCTAGCTGTCACTGCTAGCTCCACCCAATCGGTTTCCATTTTGTGTTCTACTTTTTTTAACTATTTTTCTATTCTGCTCGGTACCACAGAGGTACCGAGCAGAATAGCCGAGCTGAATACGGCAGCTTAGTGAATAGACCCCTTAGTAAATATGGGGGAGCTAAATGGAAATTCACCTTGCAAAAAATACCCAATCATGTAAAAGAACAAATTAAAAAAACACAAATTTAAAAAACAGAATTTTTCCTTGTATATAATTGAATGATTAAAGTCAGCACAGCTTCACCTCAGTCATTAAGCTCATTTAAAAGTTAATTTAGCTTAAGCTGGCCGTAGACCGGTAGATTTTTGTACAAACGTCTATAGGAAAAATCTCATCAGCACATTAGATAATGCAATCAGAGACTTGACCAGTCATTCAAAATTGAGTTTGATTTTAACATTTGATTTTGGGACGAATGGAGTTTCCTGAACAAAAACCACACTCACTGTTAGAATTTCGTTTGTTCGAGAAAAGATTTCTATCCTGCTCATCATTGTAGTCAAAATTTATGTCAAACGAATGAAATTTGACTGATGTATGGCCAGTTTTAGTGGATGCTGTGTTCATTTCAGTCACTCAGTCATGTGCATGAGATCATCCTGCCTTTTTAAGTTTGCTTGAAAATGTTTGGGTATTCAAAGTGAACACAGCTTCACCTCATGGTACAGGTAAGGAGAGGGTTCATAAATTAACCCTCTCCTTACCTGTACCAACTACTTTTCTATCTACCTCTATGAATAAGCCTACGGGTGAAACATGTGAGAGGTTGTAGCTGGTTGGGGGTGTGCAGTGCTGGCATTTGTTGCTTTAGACACTTGTATTCACTGTTATACTGGATTTGCTGTGAATTTCAATAAAGTCTGAAGTATTGGAATTCTCTGGACAGTGCGGTCTGTTCGTATACTACTACTTTTCTATAGCATTGCAACTTACAGCCACCAAATAATCTTTTTGTGAAAGCTTTTGGGATAAAACATACATTCACATCAATAAATAAAGGGGAAGCACTTAGCAGACATCCTTGCAATCTGCCTATTGGGGTAAACTATAAAAATAATCAAGGCAGATCAAACATGGCCTATTGACTCTCCTCGGAAAAAGCTGGTGCAGAGGGATGCCTGCATGGTCAGGTAGAGCCCACAATCCCACCCATAAAATGCTAGATTGGGCAAATGTCTGCAGGCACTTTAAGAAACAATATTTTTATACCTATGAATAGTATTGATTTGTGCTACCAATGTATGGGAGAGGCCTTTAAATGAGACTTCTACTTGAGGAGAAGGTGATGTTAAAAGTAGAGTACAAGGGCAACTGTGCATTGGGCAGATCTGTGGAAATGTAGACATCTTTGTCAGACTCATTAGCATGAGATTAAAGAGCCCTGCTACCATAGGGAATAAGTCATTGGGTCTCTTCCCCACACAGGGAGCTAAGAATTTTCACACTTCCACCAGGAAACACATTATCCTGGGATTGTCTATCAGCAAGTCCCTGCTGAGGGAACAGAAGATCCAAAGGCAGGCCAGCAGACACATCACACCCTGCCTGGCCCTTTCATGTCACACAGGAACTCTAGTC